CCAAGTTTAGTTGAGTCTCAATTCAAGTTCTTGGTGTTGTTGCCAGGAGGGGGGAGGGATGGAGCCTGAGGGGAGGGGAGGCACTTCTGCAGGTGCAGAGGGTTCGTGGAAATCTGAACACAACTGTCTGCTCAGATGTCCCCATGCTAAGCCTCAGGGAACTTCTGTCCCAACACAGGGAGGGAAACTTGCCAAGGCTGAGAGTTCTGTGTCTGCTCCAGCTCTAATTAAGCCCTGGGCCCGATTCTCAGCATTTTCAGCTCTCTAGCAGCAGGAAATAGAGTCTCTTTCAACACAGCCTGGAAGGCCCTCTGACTTTGACACTTCACTATCCGTTCGTTGGTGATGAGTCATCCTTAGCTTTTCATTGTCTTTTCCTAGTCAATGGTCTCAACAGCAGTCATCCAGTTTCAGACCTTATAATTAGTCCTTCCCCAGGACCTCTCAGAAGCCTGAGATATTGTGTCCCCAGTGCATTTTTTTCCCATTCCAATTCACCCCCTGTGAAAGTGTTAACAAGTTCACCTCTTCCCAGCATGCCAGGGCCATCAATACACTCCCAGCACCAGTGATTGGTGGGGGGAGGTTGTCACCAGGTGGCCAGTTGGCAATGAAGCGCCAGAATCCCATGTAGTGTCAGCTTCCTTGACCCACCCTGGAGCCAACTGCCTTAGGTCAGGATCCCTGGGGAAAAGACTGAACTGGCCACGTGCATGCAGGAAGTTTATTAGCAAGTGTTCTTGGGAACAGTACCTGTGGGACAGGGATGAAAGCAGGATGGGCCGAGGAGGCGTGGCCCAGGACGACTTTGCACCAGTGCACTTGGTCAAGCCCACAGAGCTCTGGAGCTGGGCTGGCTGGTCAGGGATGTCCTGCCTTAAGGCAAGGGAGCCTTTACTCTCCTGCATTGCCAAGTCACTGGAGGTGGGCTGCCCCAAGGGAGGGGACGTGGCTTTGGTCAAAGGCAGTTCCTGGAGGGGGACTCAGCTGAGAGTCAGCAGCAGTCACTATTCCCAGTAGCCGAGGCCATGAGTGCCTCTGTCTGAGGAGGTCTAACCATGCATCCCAGCCCCTCCTGCCAGTCCCGATTTCGGACACACACGACAGTGAGCGGTAGCTGACAGTGAGCAGCAACTTGAAGCGAGACCTTAGTTCCCTGACAGGTGATCAAACCCTGGTTGCGGTGGTGAGAGCGCCAAATCCTAACCACTGGACCACAGGGACCAGTGGCTAGAGTGTGGGTCCTTGTCTGCCTTGAAAAGAAAAAATTCTGACAAGGAGATGGAAGGCAGAGAGGAAAGTAAAGCCTTTATTAGAAAAGCAGAGTACATGTGGACAGGTGCATGGGCAAGCTCAGCAAGAGAGTCATGCCTCTGGGAAGTTTCAATCCTTCATGAGGGGGCAGTCTTCCGGATCTTTGTTTTCCCTCTGGCCAATTAGCTTGCTTTGACCGCGAGGCTGATTTGCCTCTCGACCCTCCGCTGTGTGTGCATGCACCCCTCAGCAAGATGGATTTTAGCGGAAGGGCCTGGGGGGCTTGGGGGGTGTGTGAAATGACTTATTATGGTCTGGCTCCCCCTGCCTTTTGACCCGTGAGGAGCCTTTCTGAGCATGTGTAACGTCTCCCTTGCCCCAAGGATGGGAAATATATGACTTCTTGATCTTTTACTCAAATAGGGTTTAGCCCCTCTCTGTCCCTGACATAACTGTTATCTTAAAGTGTCCACAGGAAACAAAGTCCGGCTATTTACCCTGTTCCTGTCATTTCTATCTCAAAGTGGAGAGAGGAGGCTGGTCATAAATATCTCTCCTGGAGCCCACCTGCCTCCTGCCCCAGGAAATATAACCAGGAGTCTGGTTGTAAATGTGCAGCCTGGAGCCCATCTTTTTCCTGCCCCAAGAAATGTGAACAGGAGGCCAGTTGTTAATGCCTAGCCTGGAGCCCATCTATCTCCTGCCTCAGTCCTGCCCTGTAATCCCCCAGTGTCCAGCACCCCAGTTGCCCCTGAATATCTCGTCCAGTGCATTCCACCCTGGACTGCACAATGCTGTGGACACAGCTCCAATTCCAAATGCCATGAGGGCCAAGGCTGACTCGCAGCAGTTGTGATGTGGAGAAGAGAAGGGAACAGACAGTCAGACTGAGCACATGGTGAGTTTGAACTGTTGTACGGGCATCTGGCTGCCTGGAGCTGATGCTGGGTGTTGGGGAGAAGCTGGAGATGGGGTGGAATAGGCAGGGTGTGGTCAATGGGCAGGGAGCTGAGCTGAGGAACTGCCCGTGACTGGGGAGGAAGAGGGAAGCCACGGGAGGTTTCCAGCAGGGACCAGACATGGTTAGAGCAACGCTTGAGAAAACTCCATCTGACCTGGAGGGGAGGAGTGGCCAAGGAAGTTTTTGCAACTGTCCACATGTGAAGGGATAAGGTGTGGGAGGAGGGTGAGTCCCCCAGGAAATAAGGGGAAAGAGGGATCTGAGAGACAGCTAGCGGCAGCTGGCAGAGAAACTGGCTGCAGGGTGGGCTTGAGGCAGTTCAGCTTTGAACCCAGTTCAGCCAGAAAGACCAGAAGAGCAACAGCAAGAGGCAGATCAGAGTGGGTACAAGCATGCATTTCCTGGGGCTGCGCAAGGGGCCCAGAGCACGGGTTTCACAACCTGCAGGAGCTTCAGGATGAGGAAGCAGGAATGCAAGAGGTAGAAAGGAATGTGAGAGGCCAGAGCAGCAGCTGGGGAGGCTGAGGCAGGGCCCGTGGAGGGCACCCACAGGGCTTTGGATGAGTGTATCCAGGAGGTCCAGATCCAAGGGCTGGGGTGGAGCCTTGTCTATGTCTACACAGAGGCCTTACTAGATGGTGGAGTGAGGGCTGAAGAGAGGGCCGTGCACCTGGGGCAAGCCTGGAGCACAGCAGAGAAGAGGTGCCCTGGAACCAAGGGGCCAGTTTTTGATGTAGGATCTACCGCTATCAGCTGTGTGGCCCTGGCCGTGGTCCGGGTCTCTCGGTGCCTCCACTGATCAGTACAACGGTATAAAAATAGCTCCTGCTGTCTGACTGTTCTCTGAGGGAAGGGGCAGTCAGAGAGGCTGGGCCTAGCCCAAAGTCAGTCCATCAGAGAGCCAGCAGCGAGCATGTCAGGCAGGAGATAAAGTCCTTCCGGTAAAACACCCATGTGTTGAGTGCCAGCAGCCGGGCGCCTCCGCCTCAGCTCATCCTCGGGGCCAACCTGGGGGGAGGTGTGCACTCATCTCCCACTGTCAGGAAAGGAGCCTCCTTCTCCCAAAAGAAGTGATGGGCCCAAAACAACGCAGCCAAGAAGTGGCTGGTCAGGACCTGAACCCAAGCTGGCGCCAGAAAACATATCCCTAAACACCAGGCCCCGCTGCCCATGGTGAGGCTGCAGGAAGTCAAGAACAAAGAGGGCCAGGACTTCCCAGGCAGCCCAGTGGTTAAGACTCCGCGCTTCCACTGCAGAGGGCCCAGGTTCAATCCCTGGTCAGGGAACTAATCCTGCATGCCGTGTGGCACAGCCAGAAAAAAAAACGAACGAAGAGAGCCAAGGAACAGCCTTGACAAAGTGGCCCCCAGCAATGCTGCGGCTGGGGGAGGGCAGAAAGGGAGTGGTGTGGTGGAAATAGACACTCCTAGAAGGACATTTCCAGAAAGGGAAGAAGATTCCCCGTGGCGGCTTGAGAGCCTGGCAGTGTCTAATAGAGTCTGTTACAGGAGCTGGGAGAGAGGCCACAATGAAGAGGCCAGTGGAGGTGGGGGGAGTGGGGGAGGGGGCAATGAGCTCCGCAAAGGGCTGTGTGTGCACCGAGGAGAGTCACAAAGAAAGGTGGGGGAGGGGGGCTTCCCTGGTGGCACAGTGGTTAAGAATCTGCCTGCCAATGCAGGGGACACAGGTTTGAGCACTGGTCCGGGAAGATACCACATGCCACGGAGCAACTAAGCCCGTGTGCCACAGCTACTGAGCCTGAACTCTAGAGCCCGCGAGACATAACTACTGAGCCCACGTGCCACAACTACTGAAGCTCGCGCACCCTAGAGCCCATGCTCCGCAACAAGAGAAGCCACCACAATGAGAAGCCCGTGCACCGCCACGAAGAGCAACCCCTGCTCTTCCAAGAGCAGCCCCTGCATGTAAGACCGGAAACCATAAAACTCCTAGAGGGAAACATAGGCAGAACACTCTTTGACATAAATCGTAGCAATATTTTTTTGGATATGTCTCCTAAAGCAAATGAAATAAAAGCAAAAAAGTGAGATCTAATTAAACTTAAAAGCTTTTGCACAGTACAGGAAATCATGGACAATATGAAAAGACAACCTGCAGAATGGGAGAAAATATTTGCAAATGATATGACCAATAAGGGGTTAATATCCAACATATATAAACAGCTCATACAACTCAACATCAAATAAACAAACAACCTGGGAATTCCCTGGCAGTCCAGTGGTTAGGACTCTGCGCTTCCACTGCAGAGGGCACAGGTTCAATCCCTGGCCAGGGAACTAAGATTCTGCAAGCCGCCCAGTGGTGGCCAAAAAAATAAATAAATAAATGAAATTAAAAAGTGGGGTTTACACTATATATAAAATAGATAACCAACAAGACCCTACTGTATAGCACAGGGAACTATATTCAATATTTTGTAATAACCTATAAAGGAAAAGAATCTGAAAAAAATAGATATATACATATGTATAACTGAATCACTTTGCTGTACACCTGAAACTAACACATTGTAAATCAACTATACTTCAATTTTAAAAATGTAAACAATAAAAAATTTTAAAAAATAAAAAGTGGGGTTTATTACAGGTGTACAAAAATGGATTCATTTGACTATCAATAAATGCAATTCACCACAATAACAGACAGAGGCAGGAAAAAGTATTTTACAAAATTAAAATATCCACTTATGATACATAAAACAGCTTAACAGAAAAAGAAGGGAGCATCGTAAATCTGTTAAAGGGGAAAATATGTGTAGATTTACCTTTCAATGAACAATAGTGAGCCAACTGGATTTCCATATGGGAAAAAAATGTACCTTGACTCCTGACACCATGCAAAATCGATTCCAGATGGAGAACAGGTCTAAACGTGAAGGTTAAAAAAAAGAAAGAAAGAAAGAAAAAACCTTTAAGAGAAAAACAGAGGAGAACATCTTCAGGACCTTAAAATAAACACATTTCTTTTTTTTTTTTAATTTATTTTTTGCCTGCGTTGGGTCTTCGCTGCTGCGCACAGGCTTTCTCTAGTGGCAGGGAGTGGGGGCTACTCTTCATTGTGGTGCGCGGGCTTCTCATTGTGGTGGCTTCTCTTGTTGCGGAGCTCGGGCTCTAGGCTCGCGGGCTTCAGTAGTTGTGGCTCGCGGGCTCAGTAGTTGTGGCTCACAGGCTCTAGAGCGGAGCACAGGCTCAGTAGTTGTGGCACACGGGCTTAGTTGCTCCGCGGCATGTGGGAATCTTCCCAGACCAGGGATCAAACCAGTGTTCCCTGCACTGGCAGGCGGATTCTTAACCACTGCGCCACCAGTGAAGTCCAAGCAAAGATTTCTTAAATGGCAGGTGATAAATAAATACTGATCATAAAAGAAAAAATTGGCAAACTGAATATTTTCAACTTAGGAATTTCTCTTCCTCAAAAAATACCATTAGGGGCTTCCCTGGTGGTCCTATGACTGACATTTCACTGGCAGGAACATACCCAAGGGAAAGGTGGGCTGAGGTTCACTTAACAGCATTATTCTCAAGAGCCCAAATCTGGGAACTACCTAAATGTTCATCAGCAGGAAAACAGATAAATTGAAGTATATACACCAATACAATTCCAAACAGTAAGGAGAATAAAAAGGCCTTGATTGCATGGGAAAGGCTCACAAATGCCTAAAACACTATATCCTGTGTGATCCCATTTATATGAAGTTCAAAAGCCAGCAAAACGAAACTATTGGATAGAAGTTGAGAGAGTGGTTACTGGGGCTGAATCAAAGGGGACAGGAGGGGCCTTTGGGTACCGGTAATTTTGGTTCTTAAACTGGGTGCTGGATACCTAGGCGTGCTCACTTTATAAAGATTCATCAAGCTGGACACTTAGGTGCACTTTTCTATGGGTATATTATACTTCAATAAAAAATTTCATTTAAGTAATCATTTTTAAAGTCACAAATTCATTAACAGAAGGATTTTTACCCTAGGGACTGCCAAATTTATTTCTCACAGTTTTGTATGCTGGCAAGGCGAAGACCAAGGGGCTGGCAGATTCATTGTCTGGTGAGAGCCTGCTTCCTGGTTCGCAGACAGCTGTCTTCACTGGTCCTCACATTGTGGAAGGGGTGAGGGAGCTCTCTGGGGTCTCTTTTATAAAGGCTCTAATGACAATCACGAGGGGTTCATTGTCATGAACTAGTCACCTTCCAAAGGCCCACCTCCAAATACCATCACACTGAGAATTAGGTTTCAGCAGATGAATTTGGAGTGACATAGACATCTGTAGATACTAACCCCTATGTGTCAAATGATGATCAGAATCCTAACTGTCATGTTCATTTCACAGATGAGAAAACCATGGTTCACCATACTTCCCTAGGCTGGGACCCTCTGACCACAAACTCTGTTTGGATCATAGTGGCCACCAGGTCCTGCAGAAGACAACTGCTCATAATGGCCAAAAGCAGCAGCCTGTGTGGAATAGGTCCTCACGAAGAGCATTGGAAAGGTGCACACGTCAGCGATATGAAGCACGCAGTATAAAACATTTTATGAAACAGAAGGATTCTGACTGCCAGCTATGCAAGAAATGTATTACACGTCTTACCTCCCTAGAGACAGAAATGTAGATGGGTTTAATAAAAATTATGTGGTTAGACAAATATAAAATGTCTACTGGTTTAATAAAAACTATGTGGTTATGTAAATATTGAAAAAATGAATAAAAAGTGTAGAATAGTGCTTACATTAATTCTAAGTGGAGAAATGGTATATATATGCAAATACGTACCATTTATCTCTGTAGATTGGTAAAGATAGCCATTTGCATATATAGTGGTTAGATAAATATAATGTTTAAATGGACACTATATACATAGGAAAATAACTTTTTTTACATTTCTCAATAGATAATATACATACAGTGATTCGATAAATATATAATCAGATACTTAATGGTTAGTTAAGTGTATTTATTAAGGCACCTGTACGTTGTGAAGACAAGTTTTTCCCACCAAAATCTCCAGCCAGGTCAAGCCAAGGACAGTCCTGTCCAGTCCTGTGCCGAGGGTACCAGTGGGAACATTGATCCAAGGGGGTAGCACCAGCCAGTGGTGAGAATTGATGAGAAATATGAGAATATAATGGTAATGGCATTCCATAGGCACTGGGCACTAAGTATGTACCAGATGATCTCAAATTACCACCCCAGGTGGATTATTCCATTAACCCCAAGTTAGAGTAGAGGAAACTGAGGCCCAACAAAGGAACATGTGGCACACTGGTAACTTTATAAAGCTCTTAATTGTCATGAGAACTAATGGGATACTTAAGATTTTTTTTTTTTTTTTTTGGCTGCACCGTGCAGGTTGCAGAATCTTAGTTCCCCAACCAGGGATTGAACCAGTGCCCTCAGCAGTGAAAGGAGCCCTAACCACTGGACAGCCAGGGAATTCTTTACTCCTGATTTTTTAAAATTAATTAATTTAGGCTGTGCCGGGTCTTAGTTGCAGCATGCGGGATTTTTAGTTGCAGCATGCAGACTCTTAGTTTGGACATGCACGCGGGATCTAGTTTCCCCGACCAGGGATCGAACCCAGGTCCCCTGCACTGGGAGCGCGGAGTCTTACCCACTGGACCACCAGGGAAGTCCCTACTCCTTATTTTTAAAGGAAATTTCAGGTTAGAATAACTTTGCTGCACCCAAAATCTACTCCCCGCTAACGTGGGTGTCGGCTCAGTGAGAGCTGCAGAGGTGAAGAACCAAGGCTGAAACAGTCCCTGACTGCCACCTAGTGGCTACTGGGGGTGGACTCCAGCCTGTCTCCCACAAATGAAAACCGCCTTGGGATCCCACACCCTTTCTTGTCTGACTCAGAGGTGAGGCCACCAAAAAGACCCTGGGGTGGGTAAAATGATGAGCTAACCACTGGCTTCACGCCTGGTGGGGCTGTGGGCTGAGGGGGGTAGTTTCTGGGCTTGGCTTGGAGGGAGATACAGAGACACCTGGAGCTACAGTAATGTCACAGAGAAGCAAAGGCAGGGAGGCATTGAGAGACATGTGGGTATAGCAAAGATACAGAAATAAAGATGCCAACAACGCAGAGACCCGGAGGGATGAGAGAAAGAGACAGACAGAAAGAGAGAGAGTCCCAGACAGACCCAGAAAGCAATACCAAAGGATTCAGAGACACAGACACAGAAGGCTGAGGGCAGGGGTGGGGGTGGGGTGGGGGGTGGGGGATCTCCAACAGGAAGAGCCCTTACCCCTGCTGTTCCCATGGACGTCCAGGCAGTCCTCCAGCCCCATCCGAACATCCTCTTCAGGAGGTCCTGGGCACTCTAATTCTTAGTCCTTTCTGGGATTCACTGGTACAGATTAGCTTTATTTCAGAGTTTTCCCCAGGACAGGCTGGGTTGCTACTTCTGCTGTGGTAGGTCCAGCTTTACAGCTTCTAAAACCAAGCTGCCATTCTCTCTTTGTCCTTCTCTTTCTCCTGGTGTATGTATTTCCCAGTCCTCCTTCATATATACATTAGGCATATCTTCCTACGCGTAAAAACTTCTATAGCACTTGCCTGGAGAAAACAAAACTGACTGTGGGTTTCCTCCCATCTGGCTCTGTCCTGAGTAGGCTAATAAAGAGCTGTGAATTTGGAGGGCCCAGTGACCTCTCCTGGCTTGCTGAAGACCCCTGCGTGGCTGATGAACAACGGGACCTGTTCTAACACACTGTGTCCAGCTCGTGGCCTCATCTGCCCCATGCAATCTGATAAATTCACTCCTGTATTCCGGGACCACCTCCCTGCTGGCACTTAGCAAGCTCCTGGAGAATGTGGGGTCAGTTAACAGCAGAGGGACTTGGGAAGGTAGGAAACTTGAACTCCCAAATTCAATCCACCATTCTCCTGCGTTATCCTCTTACCATCCCCCACTCAGCCTCACGCTGAGGCCACATTCAGGTTTCTTCCACAAACACTGCCAATGTCTACGGCCCAGAGGCCTAGATTATGGACCCTGACCTTCTGGATTCTAATTCTGATCTCACCACTTACCATCTGGCTCTCCTTGCCTCCACTTCCCCAAGTATAAAATAGAATATTGATAGGGTCAACTTCATAGTGCTGTTGCGAGGATGCAATGAGTTAATATTGCAAAGTGTGGCACTGAACCGAGTTAAAATCAAGGATTTTGGAGTCAGACTGGCCTTGGGGAATTCACTTAATCCCTCCAAATTTCCGTTTCTCCTCTGTAAAATGGACACAGTGACTTAAATTCACAAGGTTGGGAGTATCTAATTAAATGTTGTGAGAGGCCCCTGAAGGGCCTGAGATGTGAGACGGGGCCACTGTGGCTTTCAAATGTCCTGTCCCTGCAGCTGTGCTTCTTTACCCCTCCACCACTTAGTCCCTACCTCTTCCTCTTCACCCCTCCCCATAAACCCCAGCCTGCCTAGCCTGTGGCTGCAGATCCTCAGAACAATGTTTCTATTCCCATTTCAGAAACCAGAGCTACCTTTCCCATAAAACACTTTCCTCAAATTAAAAGTCCCTTTGCTCCTTCAGAGCTTCCTCCTACCCAGCATTCCAGAAGAGTCTTAACTATGACAACAGAGTTTAGGCTGCTTTTCTTGTGCAATATAAAGCAAGAAAAAGTGAACAGTGAACAGGTGGCACCCAGTTTAACAGACCCATTGTTACTGGGACAGGTGGAGCCTCCCTTTCTTGCCTCCAGAGGTAGGTAAGAAAGTCTTCCAGGCTGAATTGAGCACTTACTTTTTAAATTGTTATCTATTCTAGTAGTTTCATTTATAGTTTTACTAGGCAGTACAGACTTGGGCTATATATAAATGTTTTTCCTCTACAACTTTGTTTCATTTGATTCGCT